TTATGCTATACTAAAATAGTTTGTTGGAAAAACCACAATTTATTCTTGATCATTATTCAATGATGAATAAATAAGGAGTGTACTGTCATTTTTAGTTAATATTAGAAGTAAAAATAAATGAAAAAATATTTATCTCTAATTGGGTTAATTAGTGGAGCTTTCGATTAAGTTTATTATTTTCTAAATCAATTGTTGCTCGATTTATTTGCGGTTAAGATTTATTTTAGGATGTAATGTTTTCTTTCTTTTTAGATAATAAAAAACCCATTTATTTTTATTTTATAAGTTAACAATTTTAAGGTGATTTTAACGTACCTTAAATGATTGTCAATTATCATCATCGCTTTTCCAATCATTTAAACTATTTCAATCGATTTCACATGAAATCGAACACTTTTGGATCATTCCTAAGACTTTTTCAGATTCATTTAACGAGTCTTAAACGATTTTAAGATTTTTGTCTCAGTGATCATTTTTCTTCTTCAGACTTTTTTATTACAGCTTTTGTAGCAGTGAATATAAATTTCAAAACAGGGCGTGATATGTTAACCTATTACTGATTTCATGTCGATTTATACACCATGTCTTATTAGATTTACATGATTCTCATGCATCTATTATATAAATCTTCATTGGAAATTATATAATGATCGGTAACCATCAAACGTATGTCATGATTTGAGTAAAACAACAAATTATAACACAATCTTTAAGAATCGATTATGTTGATTCTAATTGCGATTAAAAAATGAAATAACATTTATCTTAAAGCTTAATTTTAATACAAAATTTATGATAAATAACATTTCTCCAACATATTTAGCGTATAAAAATGAAATGACTCTTACTTTAAAGCTTACTCCCCATAGAATGTTTATGGGAAAAACCATTTTTATAACGCTTATCAGATAGAAGATAAAGTTTTATTAATACGAACGTTTTCCTTGAAAGAAGAAAATATCGCGATAATTTTGTTATCAACCATTATGGTTTTTAAACATTTTCTTAAAAAGTAATAAATAAGCTTTAATTTAACATAAAAATCATTTCTTAAACTTCAAAAATAACATTTTAGCAATTTTTTGAATTTTATAATTTTAATTTTCACCTCATTATTACACCATCTTTAAAAATTCATATCTATGGTTTTCCGTAGGATAGAAAGATTTAAAGTTTAATTTTCGTAGAATATTTATGGGAAATCGTAATTTAAGAACACCTATAGATCAGAAAATACTATTTTATTAAAGCAAATATGTTTTGATTGAATTAATGAAAAAGCAGAGGTATCAATATATAAGAATATCTTCACAATTTTATTACCAAACTTTATGATGACGAAGTGTTTTCTTAAAGATGGAGAATTGAGCTTTAATTTGATATAAAAATCATTTCTTAATCTTCAAAAATAACGCTTCAGCGATTTATTAACTTTTTTGTTGTTATCTATCTTCATCATATATAAACGTAATTTCAAAAAAATCATATTTAAGTTTCTAATTAAGATAAAAAGACAAACTAACTTTTATTTTAAAGCTTAAGCTTCATAGAATATTTATGGTGAATTCCATTTTTATATCACTTATAGAATTGAAGATAAGATTTTAATATCACAAAAAGGTTGTATAAATGAAAAAGTAGAGCTAACAATAAATTAGATTATCATCAAAATTTTGTTACCAAACATTATGATTACTGATTGTTTTCTTAAAGATGAAAAATTAAGCTTTAATTTGACATAAAAATCATATCTTAATCTTTAAAAATAACGCTATAGCGATTTATTAATTTTTTGTTGGCATATATTTTCATCTTATTATTAACATAATTTTAATAAAATCATATCTAAGTTTCTAATTAAGATAAAAATATAAAACAACTTTTATTTTAAAGCTTAAGCTTCAAAGAATATTTATGGGGAATCCCATTTTTATATCACCCATAGATTAGAAGATAAGATTTTAATATCACAAATAGGTTGTATAAATGAAAAAGCAGAGCTAACAATAAATTAGAATATCATCAAAATTTTGTTACCAAACATTATGATTACTGATTGTTTTCTTAAAGATGAAGAATTAAGCTTTAATTTGACATAAAAATCGTTTCTTAATCTTTAAAAATAACGCTATAGCAATTCATTAATTTTTTGTTGGCATATATTTTCATCTTATTATTAACATAATTTTAATAAAATTTATATCTATGTTTCTAATTAAGATAAAAATACAAAACAACTTTTATTTTAAGCTTAAGATTTGTAGAATATTTATGGGGAATCGTATTTTTATATCACCCATAGATTTAAGATAAGATTTTAATACCACAAATAGATTGTATAAATGAAAAAGCAGAGCTAACAATAAATTAGAATATCATCAAAATTTTGTTACCAAACATTATGATTACTGATTGTTTTCTTAAAGATGNATTTTAATATCACAAATAGATTGTATAAATGAAAAAGCAGAGCTAACAATAAATTAGAATATCATCAAAATTTTGTTACCAAACATTATGATTACTGATTGTTTTCTTAAAGATGAAGAATTAAGCTTTAATTTGACATAAAAATCATTTCTTAATCTTCAAAAATAACGCTATTGTGATTTATTAATTTTTTTTGTCATCTATTTTCATCTTATTATTAACAAAATTTTAAAAAATTCATATCTAAGTTTCTAATTAAGATAAAAATATAAAACAACTTTTATTTTAAAGCTTAAGCTTCATAGAATATTTATGGGGAATCCCATTTTTATATCACCCATAGATTTCAAGATCAGATTTTAATATCACAAATAGGTTGTATAAATGAAAAAGCAGAGCTAACAATAAATTAGAATATCTTCAAAATTTTATTACCAAACTTTATGATTACTGAGTGTTTTCTTAAAGATGAAGAATTGGGCTTTAATTTGACATCAAAATCATTTCTTAATCTTCAAAAATAACACTTCTGCAATTTATTAATTTTTTGTTGTCATCTATTTTCATCTTATTATTAACAAAATTTTAATAAAATCATAACTAAGTTTCTAATTAAGATAAAAATACAAGCTAACTTTTATTTTAAAGCTTAAGCTTCATAGAATGTTTATGGGAAATCCTATTTTTATATCACCAATAGTTTTGAAGATAAGATTTTAATATCACAAATAGGTTGTATAAATGAAAAAGTAGAGCTAACCATAAATTAGAATATCTTCAAAATTTGATTACCAAACATTATGATTACTGAATGTTTTCTTAAAGATCAAGAATTGAGCTTTAATTTGACATAATAATCATCAAAAATAATGCTTCAGCGATTTATTGAAATTTATTGTTTTCATTTATTTAAATTAATTAAATTTTAACTCAAGCTTTAAAACTTCATATCTAAGCTTCTAATTAGAATAAAAAGATAAATTTATTTTTATTTTAAAGCCTAATCTTTTTAAAATCTTTATGGGAAATTCCATTTTTAAAACACCCATACATTAAAAGATATAATTTTATTAAAAACAACATTATGAATACTTAAAAAGTGAGATGTTTAAAAATTCATAACTATCTTTATAATGATAATTAAAAGATGAAATAACTTTTATTTTAGAGCTTAATCTTCATAGAATCTTTACGAGATATTCTATTTTTATAACACTGATAGATTAGAAGATAAGATTTTATTAATAGGAATACGTTTTGATTGAATAAACGATTATCTCAATAATTTAAACATTTTCTTAATATTTGATAAAACTATCTATATGTGAGTAAGTTAATTACTAAAATATCCTTATGTTTCTTTTTAATTCAAGGTATTTCTTCAACGACATTTTAAGTTAACGCTTATTAATTACATTCCAAACGTTTATATTAATTAATTTTTCAATAAAAATTCATCAGAAATTAAAATGTTATTGAGAAAATTCAGTTATCGAAAGTTTCGTGTTAACGTTTAGGACGAAGACGTTAATCTTCTCCGCGAGCTCGTTACCATAATTAATTAACGTATCTTCGTTAACATAAACGGTCGTGGCAACTTACTGACAATGAGTAATGAATTTTGCTTTTACACCTTCCGATTTTATTATTAGAATGTTTGTTGGTTTTTTTTTTTAATTGAATTGGTTTCTTTGTCATGATATACACGGGATGGCGTGGGCCATCAACCCTTCCAAGAACGAATTATACATGTATTAGTACCAACAGAACAACAACAAAAAAAGGAACGAAAAAATAGGGAGCTGAGGTAATTTGCCGCCATGAACCAAAGAATTATATATTAAGGAAACCGCAAAAAAAAATTTACTTTTATTTCGGTTTTTGGTAGCACCTGCGATATCGTTAATAATAACTAACAAGGACATCCTCAAAAAGGTTTTTTTTTTTGTAAAAATCCTGTTACTTAGAAAAAGTTTAACAGTTTCCTTATACCGTTTGATTTATGTTAAAGGTCTCCCCTGATACATTTTGTATTCAAATTCGTCAAAACGTATGCAAAAGGAAACGGTATAGAATGCGGAGTCCATCTACCTGAGTAGGACTACTTTAAGCAAAAGGAACCGCAGGTGTTAAGAAAAACGAACACATCAGGTAGACGCGAAATTTTTAAAAGTCCTGGTAGACTCATTTTTGTTGTGGGTGAAATGATAACGTCTAGTTAAACTAAAAACTTAAATTATTATTTATCCGATTAAATGTTATGGTTATTTTAACACAATATCTGTGAATAATTACATGGAACAGTTGTGGTAATAGTATAGAATTAGTATTGAGTTTATGATCAAGTGTGATTTTGAAATTATTTATTACCGCCTAACAATAAGTGTTGAGTTTAATATTTCATGTTTATTTATTAGATAAAAAATACTAAAAATGTGTCTAATTTATTAATTTAATTAAAAAATTAATGTGTTGTACCTAAAAATTGTTTGCAACATTAACAAAAAAATCCTTTCACTTCAATTTTACATTTAAACCAATTAATTTTTTTGATTAAAACATTTTCTTACCTTCTCCTCTTAATGGTCCAGGACTTGGTAGTGATGATCTAGGTGATGATGTAGGTGGTCCAACACCTTCTTCTTCGCTACTACTAGATGGTGAACTACCTCTAGTAAAACCTTTATTATTATTAGTGGTACGGTTAAAATAAACTCCGTTCGTTTGTAACAGCATCATTTGTCTTTGTGCAGCCAAATTAGAAATTTGTTGTTTAAGTTGTGAGGCGACGGTAGCTGATGATTTTGTTTTAAATTTGGACATGGTGAAGTCCAAGGGTTGGTCCGTCGTCTCGTGGGGTGGAAGGAGAACGTGTGAGGGCTGTTGAAGAAGCATTGGCATGTCTTCCTTCGACGGCCTCCAATAAGGCTGGTGCGACGACAAGAAGTCGATGTTATTATTATTGAGACTGTTCTTCAGTTTGAGATCGTTTAGATTGTTGTTGGTCGAATGATGATGGTGATGATGATTGTGGTGGTGATGTTGGTGGTGGTGATGTTGGCGGTGGTGACGATTTTGGTGGGTAGTTGGTGAGCTGGTATCTACCCACCTTCTCACGTGGTCACTTTTATAATCCGCCAGATTTGGTTACGAGCTGTCCAAACCGCACCACTCAATTTTTCTCTGTATCAGTCAATTTTTTTTAAACACAGTCAAACTATAAGAAAAAAAACTCAATTTCCAGATTGTCCTTGTTGCAACTTGTATTATTATTAAATACTAGTCTCGAATCCTTTCTAGAAACATTGTTTTTAAAAAAATAAAACGCACGTACAGCAAAACACCCGTCCACTCTTAACCGAATACTGACAGTAACTATATCGCAAGTCTCTTTAACTGTGGGGTTGCTTTCAGTCTGTATGGGGGTTGAAACGGGAATGCGAACGCTGTTGCTACCGCCACAACAGTCAACAGTCATATAACAGCGTGCATTTGCATCGAAGGAGATGCTGTGCGCGCCTCCGGTGGGGGAAGACGGTCCCGAAGAGTTTTTGGTGGGGATGACTCTTCGTCCAATCGCAACGTTGGCTCCGCCAATATACAATAGTACATAAATTGTATGGATTATTTATTTATGCCGAGCGTTATGTATGTATGAATATATGTATTAGGTGGAAAAGGATTATTTTTCGCGTTCCCGCCCCCTCGTCCCCCCTTCCCAGGAACCTCCCCTCAATCCCCCCAACATTCATTCGCATCGTCGGGATGTCCTTAATGGGAACTTAAATCAATAATATCGTGATTAAGATCCTATCTTTGCGTGCAGACTGTATTACTTGCATCTTTTCCTAAGAAATTCAGTAAAGATGATCAAAATTATTTTTTTTTATATGATCTATATAAAGATATAGATCATGCATCTCCCCAATAATCTTGCTTATGCATTTTTTTTACCTAAATCCGAAGTGTCAATAAACTTGGTATTCCAAAGTTGATTTTAATTCATGCCTAATTCTTTTTTGAACCTAAGTACGTAATGTTTGCTTATTGTAGTATATTAGCATTAGAACAAGTATAGGTATTTCGGCAACCACACCATTACATCATATCATATGGAAAGTATGTTATGGAATTGCTAAGAAAGAATTTGACAACCCAGAATGTATGAGCAAAAACATAGCTGATAATCTTTTTTGATGCAAACGGTGTGATGGATGATAAATTTTTTTTATTGTAACTCAAATTATTAATAGTAGTGCTTTTAATTAAGTAAAATCTCTTAACGAAAAAGATGGCTAAACCATAATTTGCAATTTTTGGATAAAATACTGAAGCTGATATAAAATCTAATCTATCGTATATTTTCTGCACTCACTAACTACAAATGTGCCATGACAAAATTACTCAACCACAAAAATGCCGCCAGTTACATTGTCGTGTGATATTGTGGAAACAATGAAGATGTTAGTGATAGCGTCAGCAATTTCATTTCTTAACTCATCGGAATGTGAGTCTTCACGTACACCGTTAATTAACACTATATTTTTTTGTATTAGGATTACATCAAATTGCGTACTTCTCCATGCCTAATTTCTTTTCGAAAAAAAATCTATAGTATGTATCGATATGATAGACATTTTTGATATGTGGTTTCAAAATAAATTTGTTCTACACGTAAAAAAATGTATGGACGGCAAAAAGCAGTATTGTTTCTTGATAATGCGCCATCTCATCCGCTAGTTGAAGCGTTGTCAGCTGAGAACGGGAATGTCACAGTTTTGTATCTTCCGTCAAATGTGATCGTCCTAATTCAACCTATAGATCAGGGTTAATTGAAACAATGAAGAGGTTGTACAGAAATAAATTAATGATGGTTTCTAGAAATCAATTACGCTTCAAGATGCTGTATAGAACATATCGTATGCCTAGGAAAATGTGAAAGCTACAATTGAAAAATGTTTTAACAATATTTTATGCCATGAATCAGCATTAGATGTGTTTCAGTCGTTAAAAAATTTTCAGGGCTGTGAAGAACTTGATGACGAAAATATTCTGGAATGGCTAAATATTGCCTGGGATATTTTGGACTGTGAACATATCAACGACGATGATCTGGTCCACAATCCCAAGTCAGCTGCAAGGAAGTACTAGCAGGTACTGAAACTTTTTAAATTTTATGGAACAGCAAGATGATATTAACTTTCGTTCTCGAATGCAAAAGTGTCATTTCGCTATCTTGTATCAAAAATAACAAGTTTATTATTATTATTTAGTTTTATAGTAAAGAAGGTTATTTTACACCAGTTTATTTCTTTCATTATACAATTCTGTAACCTTTTGTTAGGACAAAAATTAAACATTCGTATTTTAATAATTTTAAAAAGTCACTGTATTAAGAAACGTCGCTTATATATGGACACATTTTTATCATAAAATTTAAATTATACTGCAAAGACACATGCCAAACAGGAGGATAAAAAAAAAACTTTGGTGATATGAATTAGGATGCAATAAACTCACCACAACAAGATTTTTTTTTCTGATGGCTTGGTATCACTTGTTAAAACATCAAAAGGATTTTGCTATCTCTTAATAGACCTTAATAGTGGATAACGATTATCTAGAAGGTAACTCCAAAGTAGTAACTCTGGTAGCAGAGTATAATGGAGGATAATGTTGCAATATGAGATAAATAACAAGGTAAAATTTGGGGCACCATACGAGATAAATTCGTCCTATGTAAAGAAAAAATCTGTGTCAGAAGTTTGCAAAAATAAATATCTGCAACAGAGAGGTGCCCAACAACCAGATAACTTCACGTCCTGAAAAAGAAATTAAAGGGAAATAATCCAAGAATATTGGGTTTACTCGAAATGATGTATCACCGCCTCAGTTTGAGCAATTACCACTAATAATAGGTAATTGTTGATAAGATTTGATCTTTCATCTTTTTAAAGACATCTTACAACCCAGTTTAAAAAAAATCTTGGTGAACGAGAAATTAGGTAACCTTGAAATATTTTATGCTGCTGTTCCAATACTTCTGTTATCACAATTTCCTCCTGGGTTGCTAAACAGCTTAAAATTAATAAATCAATATAGTAGATAGATATTGTGGAAACAATTAATGAAGATGTTGTTCTTAACTCACATTTTTATCATAAAATTTAATTTATACTGCAAAGACACTTGATGAATTAGGATGAAATAAGCCCACCACAACAAGATATTTTCTTCTGATGACTTGGTATTACTTGTTAAAGCATCAAAAAGACTTTAGTATCTCTTAATAGACTCTAATAGTCTCTCTATTGGATGACATTTATCTAAAAGGTAACTCCAAAGTAGTAACTCTGGTAACAGAGTATAATGATGTACTGGAGGGTAATCTCGCAACATGAGAAAAACAACAGAGGTAAAATATGGGACACCATGCGTGATAAATGCGTCCTACGTAAAGGAGAGCTGCTAGAAATTAAACATGGTGCATTAAAAAAACCTTTGTCAGAAGTTTGCAAAAATAAATATCCCCAATATAGAAGAAGAATATTGGATTTACTCCAAAAATGTTTGTATGCTTTGCTTGTAATTCAGACTCTAACGACTTAAAGATGTATCACTGCCTCAGTTTGAGTAATTACCACTAACGTCTTACAACCCAGTTTAAAAAAAATCTTTGAAATATTCTATACTGCTATTCCAATACTGATGTTACCCCACTTTCCTCCTGGTGTGCTAAACCGCTTAAAATTAAAAAGTCAATCAAAGTTTCTTGGGCAAAAAAGTATTGAAATCTTAATTTAGAAAATCTTAGAAAAATGAAGAAGCAGCTAATCTTAACATCATCACCAATCTAGTCCAAAAACACAAAAATTCAAATCTCTATTAGTTTTGACCAATTTAGTAACCTTATATTTTGTATAAAAACTCCAGAACAACCAGAATAAGTGTTATGCATTAATCACATTACAATTCTTGTCGTCAGAAATACATATTCTAGAANAGTTTAAAAAAATCTTGGTGAACAAGAAATTAGGTTACCTTGAAATATTCTATGCTGCTGTTCCAATACTTCTGTTATCACAATTTCCTCCTGGGTTGCTAAACAGCTTAAAATTAATAAATCACTATAGTAGATAGATATTGTGGAAACAATTAACGAAAATGTTGTTTTTAACTCATCGGAATGTGAGTCTTCACGTACACCGTTAATTAACACTACATTTTTTGTATTAGGTTGTATTAAATTTATCAAAAAATTAAATATTAACAAATCAATTATTTATGGACATATTTTTATCATAACATTTAATTTATACTGCAAAGACACTTGATAAATTAGGATGAATAAGCCCACCACAAAAAGAGATTTTCTTCTGATGACTTGGTATTACTTGTTAAAGCATCAAAAAGACTTTAGTATCTCTTAATAGACTCTAATAGTCTCTCTATTGGATAACATTTATCTAGAAGGTAACTCCAAAGTAGTAACTCTGCTAACAGAGTATAATGATATACTGGAGGGTAATCTCGCAACATGAGAAAAACAACAGAGGTTGGACATAAAGGAAAAGTGCTAAAAATTAAACATAGTGGATTAAAAAACGTTTGTCAGAAGTTTGCAAAAATTAATATCCCCAATATAGAAGAAGAAATTAAAGGGAAATAATCCAAGAATATTGGATTTACTACAAAAATGTTTGTATGCTTTGCTTGTAATTCACACTCTAACGACTAAACGACGTATCACTGCCTCAGTGTTACTACTAACATCGTACAGCCTAGTTTAAAAAAAATCTTGGTGAACGAGAAATTAAGTAACCTTGAATCTTGAAATATTCTATACTGCTATTCCAATATTTATAATATCTTAAAATTAAGAAATCAATCAAAGTTTCTTGGGCAAAAAAATATTGAAATCTTAATTTAGAAAATCTTAGAAAAATGAAGAAGCAGCTAATCTTAACATCATTACCAATCTAGTCCAAAAACACAAATTCAAATCTCTATCAGTTTCGGATATAAGTGAAATTCACTTTGATCAATTTAGTAACCTCCTTATATTTTGTATAAAAACTCCAGAACAACCAGAATAAGTGTTATGCATTAATCAGATTACAATTCTTGTCGTCAGAAATACATATTCTAGAAATCAACTAATGTTATCTTTTTTACTTTTTTCCAAATCTTCCACAGGGTATTTGAGATGGGTTGGAAGATGATTGTATGGGTATTTTATTATAGTGACTCCTCCATACTCTGGATTGTGATTACAATACCATGTTCATGAACATTATTACGTGGTCTCATGTCCTTTCAGATTGAACCTCAACCAGTTGAATTCTAATTATGGCTACCCACCGAAACCAGGAACTCAATAATAGTTTTAAATTAATCTTTCAGAATGTTTTTGCATTCTTCTGCACGATGGTTAAGTATTAGACGTATATATGGGTTA